GGAGAGAGAGAGAGAGAGAGAGAGAGAGAGAGAGAGAGAGAGAGAGAGAGAGAGAGAGAGAGAGAGAGAAACTAATAACAGTAACAAAAACAACATCAGCAGCAAGAAACAACAAAAACAACAACAACAATAACAACAACACAATCAATAACAACAACCCCCCCCCCATGCCCAAACAAAAAAAGCAAACCCCAAAAACATAACCTAGAACGTCCTACTCACGTCATAAGCGGCGCACACCCTGCCCTGGCCCGCTCACACACGGACCTACAGGCGGGCAGGTGGTGCTTGTAGTTCTCCATACAGATGGGAGCGTACATGCTGCACAGGAAGAACTTGAGGTCGGGACTGCACTGGATCTCCACCAGCGGCCAGAACTGATGCACCTCCAGGCCAGCCTCGTCCTGAGTGTGGTGGTTGAACTGGTTGGGCATGTAGGTCAAGTTGTACCCGATCCCTTTGCACATCGGGATCGTCACCTCCTCGCACTTCCGCTGATCGCCACTTCCGGCGGAAACGCCGCCGGGCTGTGACGTCACAACAAGTAGAGTGAAGATGGCGGCGAGAGCGATGAAGCCGAGGGACGGCATTTTAACAGGCGAGGAGGTAAAGGAAGCTGAAGGCATTGTCGGTAGATCTCGGTTGCAAGGTTCTTCTAAATTTCTTTCTTCCTTTGCTTTGTTTGAATAATAAAAGTTTCCTGTACAATTGTGCCTTCTTCAAATGTTACTTCCAGTGGGTTGATGATTCGTCGATAACGAAGACTTGCAACGCCTCCGAGGAAATGTGAAATAACTGCTGTTACTGCTTGCAAAGCTGGCAAATTCTTTCACAGATAATCTAGAAAAGGTGATGTACTCCAATTTCTCTCAGCGATGGTTCTAGGGTCACACACACACCGATAGTCGTCTCCAATGATGACGTTGGTGGCTTCTCATGTGTCGCTCACGACAAGAGCGAACTGGCACTTTTTGTAACGCATGGTCACTGGTGTGTGCGCGGGTACAGGCAGCTAACTGGTCACCTTGACCAGACTACGCGTCACTGAGGTCTCGTCTCTTTGGCTGACTTCTGGGAGTCAGTTGTGAGCCGTTTCAAAGTGCTGCTAGCTGGAACGACCGATTTGGTGGATGGATTCTGAGGGAGACAAATGGCAACAGATGAAATAACACGGTATGTCAAATGATAGGTGGTGAAAGAGAGAAAGG